AGAAGGTTAAGGTGTATTGATTCACCATTTGAAGAATACGGTAGGTAGAAATAGAATGTACAGAAGGTTAAGGTGTATTGATTCACCATTTGAAGAATACGGTAGGTAGAAATAGAATGTACAGAAGGTTATCGTGTATTGATTCACCAGTTGAAGAATACGGTAGGTAGAAATAGAATTTATATTTCTGTAAATCCCGTTTTTACTTACCGTCTTCCTCAGGTGGTGAAACAGTGCAAGTATATTTACTTACCATCTTCTTCATATGTTGAATCAACACGTTAAGTTTCTGTCTTCTTCACGTGCCCCATTGGCTCATATGTAAGTCTGCAGGCTTTTGACGCTCTAAATCGGTTTTATATACCCGTGTTAGGCAGAACACAGACATCCCATTGTGTAGCTTTGTTGCTTAACAGCAATCAAACCAAAACCTTCTTCACGTGAATAAATACCTGTTCAACTTTCTGTAAATTATATTTCAACCTACCGTCTTCTTCAACTGGTGAATCAATACACCTTAACCTTCTGTACATTCTATTTCTACCTACCGTATTCTTCAACTGGTGAATCAATACACCTTAACCTTCTGTACTCCTGTTTTTACTTACAGTCTTCTTAAAGTGGTACTAATACATGCTGTATTTCTGTAAATCGTGTTTTTACTTACCGTCTTCTTAAAGTGGTATCAATACATGTTTACAGAAAGGTTAACATGTATTGATACCATTTTAAGAAGACGGTTAATAAGAACATGATTTACAGAATGATAACATGTAGTGATACCACTTGAAGAAGACGAAAGGTTAACCACACGTCTACCATTAGCAGAAATCAATAAGAATTGACTTTATACATAATGTAAGATAATGCAATTGATTTTATAATATATCATTGACTGTATTAATCAAAAACGCTTGAAAAGAATGGTTTAGTTTTGTTATTTTTTACAATTCTCTGTACCAGCTCCTCTGTACTTTTGTATTTGTGAAAATTAATATTCATAATGCAATTTAAACTTTTAATGATAATTCTGATAGAAGTTTCGGAAAATATTATAACCATAATATTATATTATGTCTTAGAAAGATTGACCTCACGTCACAGAGTAAAATCTTTAATCAACATTACGTTTGTTATGTTTCAATGAGGAAGAAGGATTATAAGGCTTTGGTAATATCACAAATAATTCAGACCAACATGTGTATTTTGAAATTTTATAGAATGTTGTTTATGCTGTATGTATGATTTTATCCGTATGCTTCAGTAAATGTTTTGTCTATAATATTATGCAATATCAGGATGATGATCACAAAAAATAATTATAATCGCAGAAAAACAATCAAGTGTTAACTTTGATGAAGCTAAACACTTTATAAAGTAAACATCTCAAGTATAAAACTAAACTCTTGGAAAAGTTTAAAGAAATTGAGCAAAGTTATAAATATTTGTAACAAAAGGATATAGATGCTACATATTTAAAAAAAATGAAGAAAACAGATATTTAATTAAACGTTTACTTATGAACACTATTTCTAACAGAGTATCAAGAATTACTTATTACGACGTATTATCTCTTCCAACACGGGGTCGGTCGATTTGACCGAGTCACGTGACCCTCTGTACTCGTTTAAAGTTGACATAAATGTAATACTTATAACTCTCTCTATATATTGGGTATATCCTCACGAAATTTGGCAGACTTTCAGTTAATATTACAAGTCTTTCACGTACAAAAAGTCATATTTCTTAGTGAAGTACTTTTACTAAAATAAATAAAGTTTTAGTTCCATAAATAATATTG